TCTAGTGTATTATATTGTCCTTAACTCCAGTGAGCCGCAACACACAACTGCATGAATAAGCTGGTATTATTAACATAAGATTACTTGAATATAGGAAACCGCATAGCACGTTTTTGTTCCATACCAGTCTGCTCCTATTTATATCCACCCTAACTGATTCATATTAGTGTATAACCTAAGCCTGAAACAATCACGTGCTGATTGTGTTGCCCAGTAATTTCTTACATAAATATATGTTTCTCCTTTTCAATCTAGTATTTACCCAGGTCTTTCATAAATCTAAAGTTATCGAAATAATATTAGCAGTTTAAATAGGTTCTAGATTAAGTTAAATAGGTATGCGAGTGAGAGGGAGATGGATTATAATGGGACCCTCCTAGTACATGCCAACAGTGCTCCGTAATCACTGTGCTTTCGAACCACCTCACATCACATGTAAGTGGCACAGTGCCAAGGATCCCTGTGCCACCCTCATCACTGTGGGCCACTGGGGAGATTATTATTATTTTCTTTATTAACAAAATTTAATTACGATTTTGCCTAATATGAGAAATTTTAATTAAGTCTTATTAGAGTGAGGATAAAGCTGGTATTAACTGTCACATAGGACAGAGGGTCATACACAAGACAATAGGTCTAAACTGTAGGCTGAAGCACATATATATCATGGTTACAATCAATGTTTCAATGTTCGAATATGTATATACTACTTTCTATTGTGCATTGCCACACAAGGGCAGGGATGGGTTCGTAAGAGATGCGGCTTAAAAATAATAATGTAAATAAAAATTTTCTTTATTCTTTAAAATGGACGAGCAAATTTAAAGTAAATGGTTATGATGTCGTCCAGTACACCAGATTCAATGAAATAATTGCACGGTTCGTGGAACAATCGGCCAGGAGGTCTAAAATATTTTATGGTTTCCTATTCAACAATATAGTGTTCAAGTGAATGCCTTAAAGGTTTGTCACAGAGTTTACAGAATATTGTGGTAGTGGCTCAGCCTCATTAACCTGCCAGAGGTGTCTATAGCCAAGGCGAAATCGCGCAATGATTACATCACATTGCCTGGTCCGGTTGCTGTGCTGACCATACAAATACCTATTATTACAAAAGTTGTCATAGCTTTTAATACTGCAGCTTTCAGGTCTCTAGGCATTTCTTAGCTCTTCTAAATATGAAGTAGTTTTTTTAATTTGTATATTTCTAATAAATGCATTAGATAGTGCAAAGTCATAATCATTGTTTTCTTTCCTGCAACCCTAATTGGCCAATCGATCCACAAAGTCTTGTTTTCCAGCTCCAACATGGGATGGGATCCACACAAATTTTATACAATAGTTATTATTATTGGCAAAAATTACATTACATTTAAAATTGCAAACTACTTCAGACATACATTGTAATGGGTTATTTAAGGACTGCAGAGCACTTTTAGAGTCAGGGAGAACGGTACATATACGTGCGAGAAGAGCGACGAAGGATCACACAAAACATGGTACAACCTGACCTCTGTACTTGAGTTCTCAACAATATTCTTACTAAAGCTTGAGAATGGCCCATTTATACGGTCACATTAATATTTTCGAAGGTCCAGAATTCTTCATTAATGCTTCAGATTGACCTTATTTAAAGCTAAAAAACTTCTTCTCGAGGTTGACCTTAATTAAAGATGAACATGCTCTATTAATACCGTAGACTGACCTTATTGAATGGGGAGAAGGTTACACCAATATTTCAATAATGCTCCAGATTGACCTTATTGAAAATGCTACATTAATACCTCAGACTGACCTTATTGAAGAGTGAAAATGCTCCATTGATACTCCAAACTGATCTTAATGAACGTTAAGAATGCTCCAGACTGACTTTTTAAACAATTGTAGTTTATAAATTACAAAAAAACGTCCATTGTTGAACCCTTTAAGAATCTTGCATGGGAGAAGACTTGGGAAAATACTCGCTCACCTTAACGAAGTGTTACAACACTTACTTAACGGTACTTAACGGAACTTAACGGAACTTAACGATAACGAAGTGTTGTTTACATTTACCCGTGTTATTCACTGGATAAATACATTTTTTCGTTATACAGTCATGGTATTTATTCATTTACTGATGATGTCATTCAATGGATTTATTAATTTACTCATCTTATTCATTTGGTGTATACATTTACTAATATTATCAACTGAATTTATTTACATTTTTAAATTTTACATTTACTAATATTATCCATTTAATTTATTTACATTTTTATATTTTACATTTACTCCCCTTACTAAGGGGCCTCGTAGCCTGGTGGATAGCGCGCAGGACTCGTAATTCTGTGGCGCGGGTTCGATTCCCGCACGAGGCAGAAACAAATGGGCAAAGTTTTTTTTCACCCTGAATGCCCCTGTTACCTAGCAGTAAATAGGTACCTGGGAGTTAGTCAGCTGTCACGGGCTGCTTCCTGGGGGTGGAGGCCTGGTCGAGGACCGGACCGCGGGGACACTAAAAGCCCCGAAATCATCTCAAGATAACCTCAAGATAACCCTTATTCACTGGAGGCATTTATTGTGTACATTTACAAACCCGTATTCGCACAGATGAAATATTTTACCACTGATTTACCAGAGTAAAAGAATGGTAGGAAGAGATATAATGACTCACAGGAAGCCCTTTGTCACCCCAAACTTTTCTTACAGTTTAATTAGCCCGCCGTTCAGTAAAGGGACACGAAAACGATTCTATTCAGGTAGAAGGAATGAGTTGCGAGCTCATTGAAAACGAGCGAGTGAGTTGAAAACAAATGTGTTGGTGGCCTGGGGTCTGTATGTCCCACCTGTCTTCACACTGAATACCCGGCGATTTGCAGCGTCATATATTGGACGGTACTTCAGACTAATGAGCATCAGCCTTCATGAGCTGGGTGGTGCTGTTGAAGTTCCTACGCTTCTTGTTAGGTAAAACCACTAGGAATTTGACGCTGTCAACATCGTGAAAATGGACTGCTATTGATATCTGTGTGTGAATTTTTTTTGAGGAGGTTGTAAAGAAGATGGAGAGGTGTAATTGTAGGAAGAGTTTTGGAAATTAGCGAGCTAATTGTGACAGAAGTCGGGCTGTCCGCCTTGCTGACACGATGTGTGTGCTTGGCTGCTTAGCTGAGCTTACTCTCTTTTGTCAGAGTTGTGAGTGCTTGTGAGGTATACCTCATGTATTCCAACATATGCTTCTGAACATGTTCTGATGTTTTTAGTATGTATTAAGAGGAAGGGGGAGAGGGGGGGGAAGGTTGCTGGTCTGTATTTTTATCTAGGGTGTATGCGTTACGGGGCTAGTTTTCCTGGGAGTAGATCTCGGCTCTTGGGCCACAACTATAGGGGCGGGGCGTTCATCTAGGAGTAACCTTTCTAGCACTGAGTCTTCACACATTTGGATCGTGTACCACACCTTGGTGGGATGTTGCTGTAGTCTGATGTTTGGGTTTGTACATTCAGGCCATCATGGAGTGTTTAATCATGCGGTGGAAGGTATTTAGCTGCTGTTCTTAGTGCCTAGTCTTGCACTAATTGTAGTTTTGGGGAATGAAGTGGAAGGATGGAGAGGGTTGGTAGAGATTAGCTAGAGTGGGGAGGAGGAGGAAGGGAGAGGAACGAGGGGGAAGACTAGAGGACGGGGAGACGAACTAAAAGAGGAAGTAGCAGAGACAGGAGGCATGTAGGAGGGGGACGGGTGAGGCAGAAGGTGGGGAGAGGGGGAGGAAAGAGAAGAGGGATTAAAGAAGGAGATGGAGTGAAGAAGAATAAAGTGAAGCAGGGAGGGAATCGAGGGAGGCAAAAGATGTGGGTAGGCACGGTAGAAGGGATACAGGAAGGTGAGGGGAGTACAAGTGAGGCAGATGAGAGAGATAAAAAGATTGTGAGGGGTGAGTGTGGGGAGGAGAGGAAAAAACCAACAGGAATTGGAAGGGGTATAGACATAAGGGTGATGGAAGGTAAGAGTAGAGAGGGGGGGGGAGAAAGGCATGTGAGAAGACTGAGGAGAGGTTTACCCTCCCTACGAGGGAAGGAAACCAAGAGAAAGAAGAGAAAGAGGTAGATTATTGAAGGGGAAGAAAGGGTGGCAAGGATCTGAAATGAATAAGAGAGACAAATTTGTATGTGAGAGAGCAGATGAAAGAGAGGAAAACAGGCGGAAGGAAAAGAGAGAGAGAGAGAGAGAGAGAGAGAGAGAGAGAGAGAGAGAGAGAGAGAGAGAGAGAGAGAGAGAGAGAGAGAGAGAGAGAGAGAGAGAGAGAGACAGACAGACAGACAGACAGACAGACAGACAGAGACAGATAGAGAGACAGAGAGAGAGAGACAGAGAGAGACAGAGAGACAGATAAACAGTGAAGGGAAAGAGAAAAAGATTTGAAACATCATAAGTGAAGAGGGGAAACCAAATGAAACAGAAGGAGCTGGAAGATGAGGCGGCGGACATCAGACGAACATAAGAAACAAGACAAACTGGTGATGAATCAAGGGACAAAAAATAGCTGACGCTCAGAGTGCAGAATGGGAAAGAAAACACCCAATAATTCAGGTAATGTGAGATAGGATCCGTTAAGAGGTGATAAGGAAAATTGATAATGGAAGGGGTTGGAGGGGAGGAGAAAGAAAGGAAGAACGGAGGCAGAGAGGATGGAAGGGGTGTAAAGAAGGGAGAGAGGTTCGGTGAGGAAAAGGGAGGAAAGATGGTAAGCATTGTTCAATAGCATCAAACTCCATCCCATATTACCATATAATTCCACATATATTAGTCGTGTGAAAACATTTGGAATAACATCAGTTTCCTCAGTTAAAATGTCAGGTTACAGAGCTTACAAAAAATTACAAAGGAATTCAGCCATCAGATACAGAATTCATTCAACAGACCATCAGATACAGACATGGCTGTATTCTGATCAAGAAAACGAAGCATTGATTGCAAGAAACTCAGCTATGAGAAGATATTTCACACTGAAATGTGTGCGCTATTTCGTTCCCAGCGGCTGTTCTTCCCAGGCTCTAGGCTCAGAGCAGTGACTCCCAGCTCCCTCAGGCTCAGAACAGTGACTCCCAGGTCCCTCAGGCTCAGAACAGTGACTCCCAGGTCCCTCAGGCTCAGAACAGTGACTCCCAGGTCCCTCAGGCTCAGAACAGTGACTCCCAGCTCCCTCAGGCTCAGAACAGTGACTCCCAGGTCCCTCAGGCTCAGAACAGTGACTCCCAGCTCCCTCAGGCTCAGAACAGTGACTCCCAGCTCCCTCAGGCTCAGAGCAGTGACTCCCAGCTCCCTCAGACTCAGAACACAGACTCCCAGCTCCTTCAAGCCCAGAACACAGACTCCTAGCTCTCTCAGGTTCAGAGCAGAGACTCCCAGCTCCCTTAGACTCAGAGCAGAGACTCCCAGCTCTCTCAGGCTCAGAGCAGTGACTCCCAGCTCCTTCCTGCTCAGAGCACCGATTCCCAGCTCCCTCAGGCTCAGAACAGAGACTCCCAGCTCCCTCAGGCTCAGAACAGAGACTCCCAGCTCCCTCTGGCTCAGAGCAGAGTCTCCCAGCTTCCCCAGGCTCAGAGCAGAGACTCTCAACTTCCTCAGGCTCAGAGCAGAGACTCCCAGCTTCCTCAGGCTCAGAACAGAGACTCTCAACTTCCTCAGGCTCAGAGCAGAGACTCCCAGCTTCCTTAGGCTCAGAGCAGAGATTCTCAACTTCCTCAGGATCAGATCAGAGACTCCCAGATCTCTCAGGCTCAAAGCAGAGACTCCCAGTTTCCTCAGGCTCAGAGCAGAGACTCTCAACTTCTTCAGGCTCAGAGCAGAGACTCCCAGCTCTCTCAGGCTCAGAGCTGAGACTCCCAGCTTCCTTAGGCTCAGAGCAGAGTCTCTAAACTTACTCAGATCAGAAACTCCCAGCTCTCTCAGGCTTAGAGCAGAGACTCCCAGCTCCCTCAGTCTCAGAGCAAAGACTCCCAGCTCCCTCAGGCACAGAGGGAGACTCTGAGCTCCTCCAGGCTTAGAGGAGAGGCTCCTATCTCATGCACCTCCCTTAGACTCAGAAGGAAGCATTACCGTAAGAGGGGAGTGAACAACAGAAGCAGAAACAACCCTCTCCATCCTCCCACTTCATCCCCCAAAACTGCAAGCAGTGCAAGACATGGCGCTGAGAACAGCAGCAAAACACCGTCCATCTCCTGTCTCCAGGGGAAAGGGGAAGTGAACAACGGGAGGAGAAAAGGGGAGTGAACAACGGGAGGGAAAATTGGAATGAACAACAGGAGGGGAAAAGAGGAGTGAACAACGGGAGGGGAAAGGTAAGGGAACAATGAGAGAGTTAACGGAACGTAAATGGATCAAATTGTTGACGTTAGGGAACCAGAGAAAATAGGATAAAAAGGTAAAAGAGAGAACAGAGATGGGTGACGATAGGGAAGGCGAGGATGAAGAGGGGAAGAGCTGAGGGAACGAGGGGAAGTGGAAGGAAATGGAGGAGAGTAGGAAAATATGAGGAGACGAGAGGCAGGTGAAACCAATATGAAACAGAGGGGGAGACATGTTGGATAGGAGAGCGAGGAAGTGAGAAAACTGGGAGAGGGGAAAGGGGAAGAAACGAGGAGGAAGAGGGGTATGAGGGGGGGAGGCAGGTGAGGTGTTTGAGGGGAAACCACATATTCGCAGGTACATCCCCTCGAGGCTTAAGTCAATCCTTAAAGGAGAAGGCTGAAACTCAATGGTGTGTGTGTGTGTGTGTGTGTGTGTGTGTGTGTGTGTGTGTGTGTGTGTGTATGCGTGCTCAAAAACACCTCATGTAAATTTTTAGTGCATCGTCATAATCAGTTTCAGTAATCTGTATAATATAAATGTACACAAATGGTCATCCAAAATGACCTGATAGTGAAGGGGGGATCATGATATCAGCAAGAGATTATAGATTATGTCATGTCACACGGGCTTTGTATAACAATCCTCTAATCCTCTTACAGAGATTGATTTGAGCTTATTTCAATAAAAGTTATTGAAATTAATTGAAACGTTTATCACTTTTCATAATACATGTTTATGCTAAATGTATATCAGGATTTGAATTCACAAAAGTCTTAAAAAAGCATAAAATTTTCTTTCATTGAATTCTCTTGGCTTGTTCTGTTGAGGATTAGTTTTTAACTTTGATAATTCTTTTGCAGAATTAGCTAATAGTTTTAAAAAATTAGTTGCAGAATGTATTTCTAGTTTTGCTATACCAAGCTTTCAAATAATTGGGAAAAGAATCCTTGATAAGAAGAGACTCATCTGTTTCTAGGACTTAACCCATCTTTTTTCAGGACTTAACCCATCTGTTTCCAGGACTTAATCCATCTGTTTCCAGGACTTAATCCATCTGTTTCCAGGACTTAACCCATCTGTTTTCAGGACTTAACCCATCTGTTTCCAGGACCTAACCCATCTGTTTCCAGGACTTAACCCAGAAGTTTGGATTTAACAGTACAGTGGGAGCGATGGCTTTACAATGAGGGCCTTTGAGGCGTCACTCTCATATAACAAGATGTAGTCAGTTGGCTTAATTGCTTACTAACTCCCTAAAAAAAAAATTGTAATTTTTATTCGTAGGGATCCTTACGTATATCAAGTTACAAATGCTATATTAAAACTGATCCTATGACTAAATGAGCAAACGTTAAAATGGGCTTCACCGTTCTCGAAAGGGTGTACCAAAAGCTTATCAACCCCTCGCTAGATAGAGTACGGGCTCACCATAGCCCGTGCTACTTGGAACTGCTTGTTCCAAGTAGCGAATCTTTAACAACAACAACAACAAGCTAGATAGAGAGAAACGCCACGTTTTTTGAGGTTCGCGAGGAAAAAAATGGAAATAAGATGTTACAAAAGAACTGTAGATGTCACTCGCGGTATTATGATAATAAATGGGTTTAAATTTTCTGCTATATTCATTCATATGTACCCATCTTTTAGTCCCTTCTCCCTACGTCCCCCCTCTTCCCTGTCTTCACTCAATCCCACCTCCCCCTTTCCACCTCTTTCCCCTCCACTCCTCCTACCTTCTCCCATTCCTATATCCCATCTTCACCTCTCCTCTCTCTCCCATCTCCCACATTTTACCCCTTCTCACAGCTCTCCCCCCTTTAACCTCAGATAGACTCTTACCTTTGTATATAAAGTAAATCATGAACATGCACTGGAAACATATTTTTGTTTAATAACACACTAGCAGTACCCGGCAGGGAAGTGGTTCAAATAGCTTCGGCAATCACTTCCTTATGTCCGGTCGTGATGGTCAAGCGGATTAAGGCGTCCTGTAGTTACCAGTTGCATTGCTCCTGGGAGTATGGGTTCAAGTCACTTCTGGGGTGTGAGTTTTCAGTCATATATATATATATATATATATATATATATATATATATATATATATATATATATATATATATATATATATATATAAATTTATTTATTTATTTATTTATTTATATATACTTGGTTATTCATTAAACATTTTTTACAGTACATACAGACATTTAAAATATCTCCCCAGCTTCCTTTCCCACAAAATGACCATTTGGCTTACCAAGGCACCTCTCCAACAGTTTCCGATATACATGTTACACAATCTAATAATTTTTCCTTTGCCACTAAACCAGTATTCCCTTCCAAATTTAATTTAAATCCATTCATTCATTTTTGACCAAACAAAACAAAACAAAAAAATAACAGAGACATACTCACAAACATATTATAAAAACATTTGTGTTGCGTTCGTGTCACCTGAATGTTGAGTTTTATTCCTAAACAAAGACACCACTTTTTGTTATTATTGTTTTTCACTTTTAAATGCAAAAGTTAATTGCTGAACTAGAAAACTCGATTGGAAAATAATATGTGTGTACTCACCTAGTTAGGGAATGCATACTCGCACACACACACAGGTGTGTGTATGTGTATGTGTGTGTGTGAGAGAGAGAGAGAGAGAGAGAGAGAGAGAGAGAGAGAGAGAGAGAGAGAGAGAGAGAGAGAGAGAGAGAGAGAGAGAGAGAGAGAGAGAGAGAGAGAGAGAGAGAGAGAGAGAGAGAGAGAGAGAGAGAGAGAGAGAGAGAGAGAGAGAGAGAGAGAGAGAGACGTCCTAAAGATTCATGACTGTAGGCAATATTCTCATACAGGAAGAAGTTAGAGAAAAGGAGTGAAATACGCGGTCATAATACGACCCAGATATTGGTTAGCAATATTGTGTATACGGCAAAACCCTCCTGGAGCACCTGCTCCCTTAGGCTGCCTCAGGCTTCCTCAGGCTCACTCTGGCTCACTCAGGTTCCCTCAGTCTCCCTCAGTGTCCACTAGGCTCCCTCAGTGTCCATCAGGCATACTCAGGTTCCCTCAGGCTCCATCAAGGTCCACCAGGCTCCCTCAGGCTCATTCAGGCTGACTCAGGCTCCATCTTGCTCCATCAAACTCTCTCAGGCTGCCCCCAGAATTCCTCAGACTACCTTAGGCTCTCTGAGGCTCCGTCAAGTTGCCTCAGGCTGCCTAAGGCTGCCTCAGGCTCCATCAGGCTCCTAAAGCTCCCCCACAGTCTCTATTAGGCTCCTTCTGGCTGCCACCAGGCTCCCTCTGGCTGCCTCAGACTGTTCATACTCCGTCAGGCTGTATTAGGGTGTCTTAGGCTCCCTCAGGCTTCCTCAGACGTTAAGGCTCCCTCCGGCTCCTTCACGCTCCCTCAGGCTCCCTCAGGTTACCTCAGGCTCCCTCAGGTTACCTCAGGCTCCCTCAGGCTCCATTAGGCTCCTTCAGGCTCCCTCACACACACACACACACACACACACACAAGATAAGACGTAGAGATAATCAAAACTCTCGAAATTCAAACAATCTCTTGATATTTTTTTAACGTAATGGAGAAGAAGTCTTCCTCAAGGAGAACATGGAGTATTAATGTCCTTTCCCGTTTAACAATGGAGCAAGCTTCAAAGCACTGTTCAGAATGTGAGCGGATTGTGCATGGGTAAAATAAAATGATTAACGAATATGAATGTGATGAGACGAAAGTGAGTGAGACCCTGAGATGCAGAAAGAGTTTTAGAGAAAAAGTGATAGTGACGCTCAGAATATTTAAACATATAGTGAAGAAAGCTTGTGTGATGGAAAGTGACATGGGAGGTAGGTGATAGTGATGAGAATGAGTAAGGGAAGGTGATAGTGAACTTGAGAATGAACCGGGGTAAGTATTCTTGAGTTCGACTCAAGATGTAAATAATAGTGTGTTGGACTATGAGAGAAATGATAGTGAGTTGTCATGCTCCTAACTTAAGGGGAGGGAGAGGAATGACGGAAAAGGAGAGTGAGTGACAGTGAATTGGGAAATTAAGGGTGATAGTGAGCAGAAATTAACAGAAGAAATATGACTGAAAGAAGCAAGTCCAGGTGATAGTGAGAGGACACGGGTCCAGGTGAGAGTGAGAGGGCGCGGGTCCAGGTGATAGTGAGAGGAAGCGGGTCCAGGTGATAGTGAGAGGAAGCGGGTCCAGGTGATAGTGAGAGGGCGCGGGTCCAGGTGATAGTGAGAGGAAGCGGGTCCAGGTGATAGTGAGAGGAAGCGGGTCCAGGTGAGAGTGAGAGGGCGCGGGTCCAGGTGATAGTGAGAGGAGCGGTGAGAGCGAGGGGTATAAGCCAGCGCAAGATGGAAGAGGAAACTGCACTGGAAGGATCGTT